TAGCTGGGCTGTGGATTGGTGAGGAGTCTGGAATTAGCTGGGCTGTGAGCTGTGGTGGATAACAGCGAATTACATCACTGTGTGTATCTTAGGCCAGATGCTCCCACGTGTTCCCCGAATGCTGACTGTAACTTTTGGGAAATAAGGATGTGCACGAGCATGGATAAATGTACAGAGAGAGATGCTCCTTCACCCCACGGGGGTGGGTGAGGTTTGAGTGACACTTCTTGGCCACGAGAAGCAAAGGGAGAGTCCTCGGCGGGTCAATAATTTTATCTGTGCCTCACACAGGCCCCTCTCTCGCTTGGGAGTGTTTGATTTGCCCGTCAGTGAGGGTCTCACACGCACGGCTCAGCTCAGCTCAGTCAGCAGAGTTCTGTGTGTGGGTCTTCATCCCCTCTGGTGGGATCTCAGAAATGACTGAGGGGCACCCCTGGAGTGCTGTGTCCAGTTCTGGGCCCCTCAGCTCAGGAAGGACATTGAGGTCCTGGAGCAGGTCCAGAGAAGAGCAACGAGGCTGGGGAAGGGACTGGAGCACAAGTGCTGTGAGGAGAGGCTGAGGGAGCTGGGGCTGTTCAGCCTGGAGAAGAGGAGGCTCAGGGGAGACCTCCTCACTCTCTGCAACTCCCTGACAGGAGGGGGGGAGCCAGGGGGGGGTTGGTCTCTTTTCCCAGGCAACTCTCAGCAAGACAAGAGGGCTCAGGGTCTTCAGCTGTGCCAGGGGAGGTTTAGGTTGGAGATTAGGAAGAATTTCTTTGCAGAGAGGGTGCTCAGCCATTGGAATGGGCTGCCCAGGGAGGGGGTGGATTCTCCATCCCTGGAGGTGTTTAAGGCCAGACTGGATGTGGCATCAGTGCCATGGGCTGGGAACCTCAGCGGGGTTGGATCAAGGGTTGGACTTGATGATCTGGGAGGTCCCTTCCAACCCAGCTGATTCTGGGATTCTGTGATTCTGTGATTCTGTGATTCCGTGATTCTGTGATTCTATGATTCTGTGATTCTGTGATTCCATGATTCTGTGATTCCGTGATTCTGTCATTCTATGACTCTATGATTCTGTGATTCCATGACTCTGTGATTGTATGATTCCATGATTCCATGACTCCTCGAGCTGCTTAAAGCGGACTCTGCTGTCTCCCCGTGCCGGGCTAACCCATCTCGTGCTTCTTCCCCCCCTTTCCCCTCGCTCAGGCTGCAAGATCAAGGCTCTGCGCGCCAAGACCAACACGTACATCAAGACGCCGATCCGCGGCGAGGAGCCGGTGTTCGTGGTGACGGGCCGCCGGGAGGACGTGGCCGCGGCCAAGCGGGAGATCCTGTCGGCGGCCGAGCACTTCTCCCTGCTGCGGGCGTCGCGCGGCAAGGCCGGCCCGGGGCCGGGGCCGGGGATGGGGGGAATCCCGGGCTGCGCTCCCGCCCTGCCGGGTCAGACCACGGTGCAGGTGCGGGTGCCCTACCGGGTGGTGGGGCTGGTGGTGGGGCCCCGCGGGGCCACCATCAAGCGCATCCAGCAGCAGACGCACACCTACATCGTGACGCCCAGCCGCGACAAGGAGCCGGTGTTCGAGGTGACGGGCATGCCCGAGAACGTCGACCGGGCGCGCGAGGAGATCGAGGCGCACATCGCCCTGCGCACCGGCGGCGCCGCCGGCGGCGCCTTCGTGGAGCTGCCGGGCGCCGAGGGCGACGACTTCCGCTGCAACGGCACCGACGTCGGGTTCGAGGCCGCCCCCGGCGCCATCCCGCCGCACCCTGCCCGTGCCAGGGTGGGCTCCGGGTACCGCCACGACAGCTCCAGCTCCCTGGGCAGCGGCTCCACCGACTCCTACTTCGGGAGCAGCCGCCTGGGCGACTTCAGCCCCACCAGCCCCTTCGGCGCCGGCGGGTTCTGGTTCGGCGAGGCGCTGCCCGCGGTGGAGGATGCGGCGGGGATCGACTCCCCCGCCTACGACGCCCTGCCCGCCCCAACGTCCCAGACCATCTGGAGCCCCTTCGAGCCCGCCAGCCCCCTGCCCGCCGCCCGGGCCCCCACAACCCCCCCGACACCACCACCACCACCGCGCCTGTCGCCCACCTTCCCTCCGGGGGGGCTGCCCGTGCTCATCCCCGCCTTCTCCAACGGTACCAACAGCTACTCCTCCTCCAACTCGGCCTCCAGCTCGCCCCCCGAGCCCCGGCAGCGGCCCCACCAGCACCACGACTGCTGCGTGCTCTGCCTGGACGGGGAGGTGGTGGCCGCGCTGGTGCCCTGCGGGCACAACCTGTTCTGCCTGGGCTGCGCCCGGCGGGTGTGCGAGCGCCCGGCGCCCGCCTGCCCCGTCTGCCAGGCCGCCGTCACCCAGGCCATACAGATACACTCCTAGGTGGGGCATGGGGACATCGTGGGAGCCACCTCCGGTCACCTCCCGGGGGGTTTTGGGCTTCCCGAGCTCCTGCTCTTGTCTCGGGAGGGATCCAGGGGGTGTCCGGCGGGGACACGCGTCCAGCTGAATGGTGTCCGGGCGAGGGGGAGCTCTGGTACGTTACAGACAGACAGACAGACAGAATCACCCCCGGGGCGTCGTTCCCAAGGGTCTCTCTCTGCCCAACCCGGGAGGGGTGATTTTGGCATCTCCGGTGTGTCCGACAACGACAACAACAACAACAACACTTCCAACGCTGCCTTCTCTGCACTGCCAGTCCCGTGACAAACACACACACACACACAAACACACACAAAAGAAAAAAAAAAGCAGGTTTGGGGCGAAAAGTTTCGGGTTTGGGTTTGTTTGTTTTTTTTATTCCCCCCCCCCCCCGGTTTGTAGGAGGAGTCCAAGGAGGATTCTTCAGCGTCCCAAAAACGCTCCCGGGGTTCTGGGTTTGGTTGTTGGGATTTTTTCTTTCTTTGTTTTAATGGTTTGATTTGATGAAATGGGTGAAACTGTTGGGGGGGGGGGTAAATCGTGGTGAGGTGGGGGAGGAGAGACCTGTTCTGAGGATCCCGGGTTGGGAATTCCCACCTGGAGGATCCCGGGCTGGGAATTCCCGCTTGGAGGATCCCAGGTTGGGAATTCTCGTGTAGAGGATCCCAGGTTGGGAATTCCTACCTGGAGGATCCTGGGTTGGGAATTCTCATGTAGAGGATCCCGGGCTGGGAATTCCTACCTGGAGGATCCTGGGTTGGGAATTCTCGTGTAGAGGATCCTGGGTTGGGAATTCCTACCTGGAGGATCCTGGGTTGGGAATTCCTGCCTGGAGGATCCCGGGTTGGGAATTCCT